ACTCAATGGGGTCGGATGTAGGGCGGGGACAGCAAGTTGTCGGTCGCAAAATGACCACACGACTCACACTTTCAAGCTGCACAAAGGCGCTGTGAAGCTCTGCAGATGCCACGGCGACTTCATCCCACCCACTTGCGGGAACAAGGAATTCTTCACAGAAAAAGGCGATGCGCGGTCGGAAATCTATATGAAGGTGCTGTCTTTTTGCGAACGAGACTTTCTTCCCCGTCTTGTATTCGACCCAGTTGGGTTGGAGCAGAAGGTAGGGCGAGATGTAGTATTGAGTAGGATGGCTGCGATGGGGGTAAAAAAATAAATCGCCAGGGAAGACGACACCGAGAGACGAGCATCGGTGCGCAAGCGACTCGCTTTGACTCGAATCGCACCACGTTGTCAAGGCAGGCAGCTGCATTTATCGGAGAGCTGGGCGCAATTGAAAAAGGTGAGTCCGCAATGGGTCGGGCTTTGCATTTGCCATTCCTTGCCTCTCTAGCCTAAATCGGGTCGCGGACAAGGATTAAGGCAAAATGCAAAAGGATCGATAGGCTAGAGAGGCAAGGAATGGCAAATGCAAAGCCCGACCAATTGCCAACTCTTTTTTTTTTCAATTGCGCAAACCCCCCAAAGACACAAGGCAATGAGACCAGACGATGATTGGCATTGCGCAAATGAGATCATGAAAACCCCGCAGAGCAAAGGCGTGCAGAGATTCATTCCCACTGATCGGCGGAAGCCAGGGATTCTTCAGACAAAAAAAGTGATATGCGCAGATGAAAGTCATATTTACAGTATTAAGATCGTGGAGGAGCAGGATGTTGCTGAACTTGAACGCAATTTTGCTGCGCACCAGAACCTTGACATAGCTCAACCTTTATATCGCTGGAAAGCTTAGGATCACAGCTTTCCAAAGATGCTACACAAGCAGCTGATCAATTCAACAAAGAGATCGTAATAGCATGATGAACAAAGGGGCCTGGCATGGTATGGTGAAATTGCGATTTTGCGGGGCAGTTCTGAACGCGACTGTAGAAGTGCTGATTTTTTTTTTGGCAACCGACACTTTTTGTGTCTGCCTTGTCGTTGGGATCCAATCCGAATGGGGCTGGTAAGGCAAGGTGCAGTACGCAGGATACTCTTCAAGCTATCTTGGGATGCAATGGGGACAAGAAAGCGAGGGGAGACATCACGAGACAAGAAATACAACGAGAGCAACGAGATCATCCAGACAAGTGCGTTTTTCGGTTTCAGCTCAAAGCGAAGGTGTGTCCAACTCAATCCCAGTCAATCTCGGAAGCCAGGCGATTCTTCAGACGAAGAGAGCGATGCGCAGTTGAAAGTTATATTAGGGTGCTGTCTTTTGCGACTTGCACCTTTTGTTGCCACGCCATCCATGCATCTGACCCGAATGGGGCAGAGCGGAAGGCAGGGCGAAAATGTAGTATACAGTAGGATGCTCTAAAGGCGATCTAGGGATGCGATTGGGGGACCGGAGGAAAAAAATTGCGACGAGACGGCGAAAAAGAGACGAGACGGACGAGTGCGAGCAGGGTCGCATCTAGTGTGGAAGGGAGTGACTATGGTGCGGAAGCGGCCCGGGTCGATTTGTCGAGACGGGCACAGCGAGTTGCGCGTAAAAGGTTCCTGCTGGCGTGAAGGGAGTAAGCGAGCGAGGAGCTTACGACCACCAGGTGATGGGGACGACACCGGCGTCGAGACCCGAAAGCTGCTGGAAGGCACCGACCGAAAGGTCAAGCGAGCCCGACGAGCAGGTGGGGCAGGTGTCGGCGACCGTCGCCTCGATCGTCTTTCCGTTCCCTTGGATCCACACCTTCTGGCCGCACATGGCGCTGCTCATCTGTGCGCTGTTGACGGCCACGATGGGCGTAGAGTCCGAGTTGTAGTTCCCGCACGATCCGGGGTTGCCATTCTGGTAGAAGTAGGTCGCCTGGCCGGAGCCGCCAGCACGCTTAACGGGGCTAGCGACCGCAGCGGTAGCGAGGGCGAGGGCGGAAATGGCAATGGTGGAGAACTGCATTTTGAGTTTTCGGGAATTGGAAATCTCGAAAGAGAGTTAGAGTTGTGTTTGTGTACGTGGGTTTGGGTGGAATGAAGTCGATGCGGAAACGAGGATGGAAGACCAGATTGGGACCGGTCCTTTATACGGTTCGAGGACGTCCAGCACTCGCTATGGTCTACACAGCGAACACAGGAAGAAGCTGCAGCGAAGCTGCCGTGTTCGACGCTACAGAATGCGAGCGCACCAGCCAGTTCCTGCGCTGTAGGAACAAGGGGGTGCGTGCGCAGGACCAAAAAAAGTTTTGCAGCGCCGAACCGCAGCTGTCACCGGTGTTCGAGTGTGCGATGCTGGGCCCGAGAACAACACTTTGGCAGCGCACGAGCAGTCGCGCCTGCTTTCACAGCGCATTCATGAGCCAGTGCTCGATGAGGCAGGTCCGAGCCACTGGGCGGAGGAGGCTCGGTGTGCGGCAGCTGTCCGGAACATTTGCGCTGTGTGACACCAGTTCTGGCAGCTAGCCGGGCTCTGATCGTCGCCAAGCTGCACAGCTGACAACGGTGGCACTTCGGGTGTCCAACGAGGGGACTGGTGGGGGGCCCTCAACTTTGTCGGTGCAACGGTGCAAGCGGTTCCTGTGCACTTGGTCCGATCGCGTGGCTCGTCGGCTTGCGCACTCGGTGCGGCGGGAGCTTTGTGCGACCTCGTGAGGATCGACAGGCTTCGGTGGCTTGTGCAACAGTAGCATCACGCTCGGCAGCCGGGATTCGTCGCTACGGCAAGCAGCCACCCCCTGAAAATCAAGAGGCGGTCGAGCCGGAAGCACATTGCGCCTCATTGCGCCGATGGCGGCCAGAAAAAGAAACAACCCGCGGGCAGCATTCAGCATCCAGCGAAGCCTTCAGCGTGGGCGGCAGCGCGGGCAGGTTTCAGGTCGGTGGTTTGGGGCCTGGCGTTTCTTGACGAGCACCCTCGAAATCGTCGCCCTGTGAGAGAGCCAATTTCAGCTGCATTTTTTTCCCAACCGTCCGGGGCACAGGAAATTTCGAAAAAAAAAAAAAAAAAAGAAAAAAAAAAAGTTGAACCCGAAGCGGCGTGAGCTCATGAATTGCAAATGGAGCTTTCATGTCGCCGGACGGGCTACGGAATGTTGCGCCATTGTGCGTGATTGCCGCCCCCGAAAATCGAGGGCGCTGGTTGGCAGCCCGAGCCGTTCCGGCGCACAACGGTGTGTGTGGTCATGCTGTCACACGACGGCCGGTGCAGCAGTTGACCGGATGCGCATGGATGCGCATGCAGCCGCACCGGTGTCCGCTCGTGCAGGATGACAGGCGCCAATTCGAGCTCAGATTGGCAAGTTTGCCGCCGCCGCCGCTGCCGCCCCCGCCTGAACCGTCTGCGGGGGTGTATGCGCCTACGTCCCCCCCGTTCGTCCATTGGTTGCCCCCGCTGCATCGCTCGACACTGGTGTGCAAGTGAGCGCACAGGCAGGCGCTCACTTGCACCATTTGAAAAGTTTGGCGGAAGGCGCTAGGATTGGCAAGGCGTGTTGCAGCAGGTGGACCCCAAGCGTCAGACATCCAGAGAGCGACGCTGCGGGGCGATGTGATACTGCGTCCGTGACCGTCTTCGCGCAGCTTGCCGCGCCTCGCCAGGCCGACAGCGTTCGTCATGGTGCACTGACCAACAGACCTCGGTTTCGTTCGATCCCAAAGCGCACCCGCGGCCCAAGTCATTTCTTCCAAGCCGAGTATGGAACGCTGCCATGTGTGTATGGTGGCGCGATGGCGGTACAACATCAGAGCCGCTGAGCAGGGATGCCATTCCAGCGTGGGTCGATCGGTCTCGGAAGATCCTGGTGCATCTGAAACAGTGTGGTGCTCGCGCACGAACACGAAAATCAGCCGTAAGCTTTGCTTCCAAGCAACCCTAGCCCACGCTGTCTCACCTCGCCCGCCCCTTCTTGGTCGCACATGCCGGTACCCTTCCTGTAACGCCGTAAGCTGGCCAAGGCGTGGGTGCGAGACGGTGGAGAAGGGACGGGGGCACCCCAATTCGACTCGATTACCGGCAGCGCATGGCGATGTTGGCGAGCCTCGTGTTGGCTGGCAGCCACCAACGTGGCCCCGGTCAACGCCCAACTGTAGCCGCTTCGTGTTGCTTGCCTCCACAACCCCAGTTTCCTGCCCGTTTTTTTGGTCTCCTTCGCTCGGCTTCTGCGGTTGAAACGCGTAGGAAACCGAGCCAAAAATCACCGAAGTGCGCCTTTGCAGCCTGGCGAGCAGGATGACAGCTAAATGCCGAGGCAGCGCCGCGAGTGGTCCTTCGCAAGGCGCCGCTGTATGCGTGAATGCGGATTCGTCCGCTCCGCCTCTGTGAGCCTTGACCCCGGAATGCAGCCTTGACCGCTGCAATCTTGTGATCTTATCGAGCTCGTACCCCCATTCCGCACATGGCGAATGAATGTATGCTTCGATGAGCATGGATGCGTTGCCTCGCCATCGACAGAGCGTGTGACTCGGCATGCCACCCATCGCACCTCCACTGGTGCATAATTGGGGTTGAGGTTGCCATCCAACCGGTCACGTTGGAGAAGCATGCTGTCGTGTGATGGCGAGGTCGGCCTTCGGTCACCATGGCATAGCAGTGTCAGGCGTGAGAAGGAGGGATCGGCACGATCGAGATGAAAAGTCGCCGAGACGAGGCCAGCACGATGATCGGAAGATGAGGTGGGCCAAACATCCAAATCAGCGATGCGATCATGGCCGTGTTTCATCGGGTCATGAGATCTGGAGATGCTCAACTCGAAGCATGTCTGCACATCACCGAGTGGGCCCGATCGGGAGATCCGATATCAGCGTCGACCTGGCTGCGGTCCTCCTCACCTTGCCTAACCAGCATGCTGCCTCATATACACCGCCCTATCGATCTTGCTTCAGGCGCATGTGGCGTGAACGATCCTTTCCTTGACTCAATCTCGGTTCCTAGCAGGGGCTTGACGGCAAGGAAGGGGCTTCGGAACATCCGAGCATCGGGTCACCATGCAACGCCGAGCCTAAACTGCACAATCACATTGCGATTTCCTTCCGATAACTTAGAGCTTCCAAAGTGGGGCTCTGCATCGCAGTGCATCACTGACAGCGACAATGCATGTGATCTCGGATCAGTCAGAGTCCGGTCTTTCAGGGCGTAACCAAGTCACTGCGAGGTCCGGATAGGTAGGAGCTTTTTGCAGCCTCGATTTTGCGGCTGAATTTCAGTACTCTCAGTACTCGAGAATATTCGCAGTCCAGCTGGAGGTTCGGAAACACCGACGTGGCCGAAAAGCAGCCTTCCAAGATGCTACCAAGGGTTGACCAACTCGACCAGACGACGATGATTGGCTCTACACTCGCATGATCGAACTACGCCCCCGCACCGAGTTCTGTCACTAGCGGCGATCGATGGGCAACGGTTTCAAGGACGCCAAAAAAGTCGGAGTTGCGCTTCGAGAAACGACGACCGCTAGTCATGGCTAAGCGAGGCAAGCGGATCGACGACGGCTGCCACCTCAAGATTGCAATCCAAGGCAGCGAAGCCCATGTGAACAGAGCGAGCGGCGTTAACGAGGCAGAGGGACCGATCCATATCTCAAACTGCTCGCCGCGAAGAACGCTGGCCGGGGGAAGGCAGTGTTGAAATCGCAACCACTCAGCTGGACAACCGCGCGAATCGGGCGTGCAGCAATCCGTCATCATCCTGCATGAGGATGCGAACATCTGATCGACAGCAGCTTTGCTAGGCGAACCGTACCGCCGTGCCGCAAAATTTGGAATTTCAACCGCTCACCGATCTTACACATCAGCGGAAGCCAGCTTCGTTGACCATAAGCTTTACTGTAAGCTCGCCATCGGGATGGACAGGCAGCGGCACATGGATGCAGGACCCCGAGGCTTGGCGGTGGGCCGGACTGAATGGGATCGGCTGGTGACTGCCAAGTCGGGTTGGCGGGGCCAAGAAGAAGCAGGAGCGCGTGCCTTGGCAGTTGTTGCGCTTGCTGGCGCTGGCAGAGCAAGGCGAGAAAAAACAACAACAACACAACACCAGCAGCAGGGCCCGAAAAAAAAAAGGGCGGACGAGCCCCTAGAAGATTAGAAGAGGCCCCTCTCTCGCTGGGGGCTGGCCACGCTGCAAATTTGCCAAATTTCCGATTTGGATTTCGAAAAATCGCCGCCCACAGCGTGCTGCTGCTCTGCCCTTCTGTTGGCAGCCAAGTGAGAGAGCACGCGCGCGTCGCCTCGGAGTTGCCGTAGAGGCAGCAGCGGCCGCTCGAACAGCTGGAAGGGCAGCCGGTGAAGCTCGTCGCTCGCTCGCTCGCTCAACTCAGGGTCTTTTTTGGCTGCGTTTCAGTCTCCAACAATCGATCCCAGCAACACGCGCTGGGCAGTGGGAGAACAGGGCGAATGCCAGCTCGACTGCCTCGCCGCTCGCTCACCAGCCAGCGCAATCGCGCCATGCACCTCAAGCACCTCAAGCACCTCGAGCCGCATGTCGACGCCCGTAGACGTCTCTCTCGGTTTCAGTTGTTCTCGCCTTCTCCACTCTTCTTCCTCCTCTCACACCCACGCCATCCTCGTCGCCCGCTCTCATCGTCGCCACCATCCTGGTCATCGCTATCTCGCACGCTATCTCCTTCGTAAAGCACTCGAGCTTCCTCCTCAACTCATCGGCACTGTAGCCTGCTCGACGCAGACTCGTCGATTCGGGCAGCACCATGGCCGCCCCGGCCTCATCGGCGTACGCCTTTCACCATCGCTTCGACGCCGTCCCGGCCAAGGACGCTTCTGTTGCCGCCAGCGCCACCCCGAACGGTGCCGACGTCCCATCGGCGGCTCGCTCCAGCGCCGACAACTACTCCTATCCTGACCTCGATGCAGGCCAGTTCTACTCTTCCTCGGCAGCCCACTCTTCCACCGCCGCGCCCGCTCCCAACGTCCTCCCCGACTTTCCAGAGTTCAAAGGCTTCGACTCCAAGTCGGATCTTTTCCAGACCAACAATTTCTTCCAGCAGTACTCGGCCCAGCCCACTGCCAATGCCGCACTCGTAGAGCCAAAGTCGGCGCAGATCGAGGAAAGCTCCTCCTCCGACCAGCTTCACGCACAGCCCGCCGTCGAGCCCAGCAGCCAGCCTGAAACAGCCCCTCGCACCTCCCGCGACGCTGCACCCCATCCCGCTGCGCCTCAACCGCCGCTCGACCAGGACGAACCTTCCTACCAGCCCCAACTCGAGCGTCACTTCTCCTCGGCAAGCTCTTACGTACAGCACCCCTCGTTGCACGCCGACGGACCCGCTTCTTCTCCACAAGCACCGCCCGTGGTCCAGCGCAGCCCTCTCCCAAAACCGCCTTCGATGCCTGCCTCGCCCCCCGTCCACCACACCACCAACTCTCTTTCGCACGACTCTCAACCTCAAAGTCCCCCCAAACCAGCGCATCCATCCCAACCTGCCTCCGCTTTCACATTCCCTCCGCAGCCTCCAGCATCCGCCCAAGCGCCGCAACAGCCCGCACGTACGCAAGATCCCAACACTCTGCCAGTTAACGGCCTCCGTCTCAACGATGACCAGTCTGCGCATCAGCCCGCCGCATCAAATCGCGACGACAATTTCTTTGGCATGCAGCGTCCCGCGGCTGCCCTCAGCCCCACAGGTCAGCCCTTGGCCGGGCCTCCCCCCATGCTCGCCGACGACGACGGTTTCTACCAAGATCAGCAGCATCTCAACCAAGCCAATGCCTCCAGCCAGCCTGCCCCGCGCATCCACGACCCCACCAACCAGCCACCTCGTCCTTCCTCCTTCTTTGGCGTCGAGGGCGACTCGGCCTCCAGCTTGCCCTCCAGCGCCATTGTCGCCCCCTCTCCCGTAGGCGAGGCCAGCTTGCCAGGAACGCGCGGCTCCTCCTTGCATCGCAGCGAAGCTTCCATCCCACGCGGCATCTCCACCGCTGCCGGAGGCACGGGCAACGCACCCATGCCCACATCTGGAGGCTTCGGCGGCCTCGGCCCCGCAGGCGCCAACCGCCCCGCCAGCATCGCGCCCTCCGTCGCAAGTGGCCCACTCCTCGATCACAGCCACCTGCGCGTCGGCCGAAAAGCTTCGTTGCTCAGCCACGGTAAGACGCTCGAGCTCTACCGCCAGAACGCAAAGAAGACCAACGACCCCAACCTCATCTACGAGCTCGCCGTCTTCATGATCGATGCTGCCAAGACCATGGGCACCGACGACGATGCCAACGGCCCCGTCGCTGCCGTCAACGGTCCCAACAAGCTCGACACCGAGAAGGCCGAGCTCATTAAGGAGGCCACCGGCCTGCTCAAGAAGATCGCCGACCGCGGACACCCTGACGCGCAGTACTTCCTCGCCGACTGCTACGCCAACGGCATCGGCACCCGCACGGGCAAGCAGGACTTTGGTCAGGCCTACACCTACTTTGTCCTCGCCGCCAAGCACGGCCACCCCGACGCCGCCTACCGTGCCGGCACCTGCTACGAGAAGGGCTGGGGATGCCGCAAGGACGCTGGCAAGGCGCTTCAGTTCTACCGCAAATCGGCCGCGCAGAGCCACCCGGGTGCCATGTACCGACTCGCCACCGCCGAGCTCAACGGCGAGCTCGGCCTCAAGAAGAACGCAAAGGAAGGCGTCAAGTGGCTCAAGCGTTCCGCCGAGGCCGCCACGCCCGAGTTCCCGCACGCGCTGCACGAGCTCGCGCTGCTGCACGAGCGCGGAATCGACAATGTGCTCTTTGTCGATCCCGAGTACAGCTGCGAGCTCCTGGCCCAGGCGGGCGAGATGGGCTATGCACCGAGCGCCTACAAGCTCGGCGTCAACTACGAGTACGGCCGCATGGGCTGCCCGCAGGACGGCGGCCTCAGCATCCACATGTACAACATCGCGGCGCAGCAGAACCACAAGGAGGCGTGCTTTGCACTCACCGCCTGGTACCTCGTGGGCGCGCCCGGCATCCTGCCTCAGTCCGACACCGAAGCCTACCTGTGGGCCAAGAAGGCCGCCGAGCAAGGCCTCGCCAAGGCCGAGTACGCCGTGGGCTACTTTACCGAGATGGGCATCGGCACCACCAAGGATCTTGGTGAGGCGAGGGCGTGGTACAAGCGAGCCGCCGACCACGGCGACAAGCGAGCCAACCAGCGCATCGCCGCGCTCCAGGGACGCGGCGGCCCCACGGGCGGCCCCACAGGCATGGCGGGCGTGGGCTCGCAGAAGCGACAAGGCCAGCAGCAGCAGCGGCTGGAGATGAGGCAGGAGCAGCTCGAAAGCATGAACGAGTTTGGCCGACGCGCCCAGCCCACCTCGGCGCCCTTCCCGGCGAGCGTGACGCAGAGCTCAATGACGCCAAGCACGCAGATGAACTATCCGTCGCCCATCGCCATGCGAGAGGCGCAGACGGCGCAGCGCGAACAGCAGTACATGGCCAACGTGGCGGCGCAGGAGCGCGCCCAAGCGCGTGCCATGCTGCAGCACTCGCCCTCGCCAAACGAGCTCGGCTCGCCTGTCTCTGGCTCGCCCAACATGGGTCTGCCGCGTCCCCCGCCCATGCCGTACAGCCAACACGGTCCACCGCAGCCCATGCGCCAGGGGTCCAACTCGTCGCAGCCCCCTGCGCCGTTTTCGCAGCCGCAGGCGTACCCGTCGTATCCGATGAGCGCGAGCACCGCTCCGCCGCCTCCGCCACCGGGCTCGTCGATGGGCGGCAGCGCTGTGTTCCCGCCAGGTGGAGCGCCGCACTACCAGGCTCGACCGGGCATGGGCATGGGCCCGGGCCCGGGCTACGGCGGACCGGGAGGACCCGGTGGACCCGGTGGACCCGGTGGACCACCTGGACCCGGCTTCGCTGGCGCTCCTGTGGGACCCAGTGCGCCGGCCAAGGCGGATCTGGGCAATGACGACGAGGGCAAGAAGAAGAAGAAAGGCTGGTTCGGCCGATCGTGATGCGCACATTCTCACTTTTTTAATGAACAATCGAGTCTTGAATTCGCTGTGCTTGGTGTGGCGAGGGAATGCAGAGTGGGTGCTGCTGCTGAAGGGGACACTGAAGCGGTGATCACCAGGGTGGGATGGGTGTCTGCACATGCATGCAATGTCCAAGTGGCAGAACGGTGCAGCCGGGGTGAGAGGACAAAGTCAGCTTTCGTCTGCAATGGTCCAGCCTGGGTCGAGCCAGAGCAGCGAGCATTCACGATTGCGTGTGACAAACTGCTCGAGCGCTTTCACACTCTGCACTGCGTGCTGCCACGAGAGCGTCCAAACCAACCTACACCCCCAGCTGATCAGCACTTGATCCCTATTCTCCTTTGGCAATGGCATCGTTGCTGTAACACCTCGTCCTTTTATTTTGGCAAAGCTTTGTACGCCTGATCAACTTCATCGCCGGTTGGATGGGTGGATCCACTTCAAGACCGCTTCTCATCGCAACTAGCCATGGTCAATTCAAAGCAATCGCCGGTGCTCAGAAGAGCGGCATCAGAAAAGCAGTCTGATCCTACCCTGCCATTGTTTTTGCCATCCTTGCTTCATTGAGCCAACACAGGCAATCGGAACAAATGTCAACACACGTCACAACCCAGCTTGCATGCACTCTACCCACCACTGCTGCCACAGAAGCGTCACAAACAGCCGCAACCCCTTCATCGCCTTGAGAGTGCCAATTTTGCGGTGGGTTCCATGCAATCGCACCAACAAGCGTCAGCTCACGTCGCAGATAGACCGGGCACCAGCACTCGCTGCACTACTGCTGGGGGAGCATCACCAACAGCTCAGAGCGCCACCACTCGGTACATCAATCTACTCCATGCATGCTGGGGAGCGTCACAGGTGTCACCACTCGCTGCAACGAGTACTGCTGCCCGGGCATGAATGCCAGAGAGCGTAACAAACACCTCGCTCGCTCGCTCCCTCTCCTTCGTGCACTGCTGCCAGGCAGCGAACCAAAAGCCTCGGGCACCGTCACTCGAAAAACCGCCGTCAGAGAAGCACCACCGCCGGCTTGCGCGGACCAAGTGCCCTGCGCAATGCTTGAGAACGACTCGAGAGATCCAAATGTGAGCCAAGTGTAACAATCCACAATGGCTCTCCAGCCAGCAATGTCGCGTGACACCCTCGACCACAGCTTGACTTGCTCCTCATCACTGCTTCGGACTCTCGTCCTGCATCCCCAATCAGTTCGAAAGCCGATTTCAGTCAAACCTGCGTTACGCCCCGGCGAGCGAACCACGACGCAACCCGACCCACGCTGTCCAAGCCAACTACCCGCCCTCGAGACTCCAGGGCGCGATATTGAGCTTTTGCGAAATGTTGATGTTTGATGCTGTATTTCGTCGTCGACGTCACTGCGCGACGATTGCTAGGTGTGCTAGTCTGTGTCGACTGCCGTGCTGGTCCTAGCCAATTTTGCTCTCGAGAGCTGCATTCGAAACCTGCTTGCGTGGCAGCCAGGGAAATCGACTTGACGGTCACTCGTTGTGCGATTCGGGAACTCCATTCGATTCCGCGCTCGCGAGCTGTGTTGTATGATCAGCGCGGCAAGCAAATGCATGCGCAGCGCATTGAAGGCCGTTTCGATGTGCAGTCGTATGCTGGTACCAGCACTTGCCAGCTGCACCTGACTCCAGGGCTCGGTTTTGAAGCTCGCTGTACGTATTGATAGGATGCTTGTCTGCTTGGGCGATGCTAACGGAGCCTCTTCCGGCTCACGAGCTGCATCGCGATCCTGAACCATACCGGCTGTGATGTTGATCATGGGCGGCTACGCATGCCGTGTCTCTGGAATCGGCTCGGCCATGAGCGTGGCCAAGTCGATTGCCTTGTCCTTCTCGACATCCACGAGACCCACCAGACAGATCGCATCGCCACGCAGGATGTACAGCCCGAGCGGCACTTCTTCGACGCCCTCGTCTGGGCTAAAGATGCGCTCGACCGAGGCGGCAAGGATGATGCTGCCGACAGCATCGCTGCCGCGCAGAGTGCCTACGATGACGCGCCCATCCTGCGTGATGACCAGCACGCGCTGGTCGACGTACTGCTGCAGCGCCGACATGGTCGCCCGAACCCCACGCCTCGGTCGAACGCAGAGCTTAGCACGTTCAAACCCCGAGCGAGAAGAAGGGGTCTGTGCTGTGATCAAGCCTTGTCCCGTATTCCAAGTGCAGATGACGGCGGGCGGTGTGGGTGGGGCAGAAGGAAGGGAAGCCAAAGTGGAGAGCGACATTTCTCGAGTGTAGTCACGTGGAGAGTCGAGTTGGACCCCGGAAGTCGGATTTCTGCGCGGTGGAGGGATCGGGGTGGACCAGGCAAATCGGCAAGGCAATCGCCATCGCTCCGGCAGAGTCGGGAAGGAAGATGACGATCTCGGAATGTCGAGCGGGCCCAGCATCGCGCACTGGGCACGGCTCGCTTCTTGGTGACACGACTCCACCCTCAACAACCACAACGCCAAACAACGTCGCATTTCCAGCATGCTCGCTTCACGTAGCGTGCGTGCCGCTGCGGCGCCTGTGCGCGCTTCGATCGCAGCGCGTGCCACCACGCCATCGTCGACATTGCTCACGGCAGCCGCGCCGGCATGGTCGAGGGCAGCAGCAAGGTCAGCTGCGCTCACGCGCTCGCCGCTCGCCGCTCCCGTTGGCGCACGCACGCTCTTCACACGCACGCCACCCACGCCCTTGGCACGCACCAAGCAGCTTGTGTACCTCGTCTTGGCTCTCGCCGCCGGCACGCTCGGCGTGGCGTACTATGCCGACTCGCGCTCGGCCATCCACCGCTGGGTGGCCATCCCGGCGCTCAAGGCGTTTGCCGATCCGGAGAGCGCACAGAAGCTCGCGATCAAGATGCTCGAGACCGGACTCGCACCGCGCGACATGGTCGACGACGATGCGGTGCTCGAGACGGAGCTGTTCGGCCGCACGCTCTCCAACCCCATCGGCCTCGCAGCGGGCTTTGACAAGCAGGCCGAGGCGATCGACGGCCTGCTCGACCTCGGCTTTGGCTTCATCGAGATCGGCAGCGTCACGCCCGAGCCGCAGCCGGGCAATCCGCAGCCGCGCTACTTCCGCCTCACCGAGGATAACGCCTGCATCAACCGCTTCGGCTTCAACTCGGAGGGCCACAACGTCATCCTCAGCCGCCTGCGCGACCGCATCCGTCGATGGCTGCTCCACTCGTCCAGCATCGCGAGCCTGCAGGACGCTCTGGTCGCCTCGCCCGACTCGGCTTCGGCCGACGCCAGGCAGCTCGTCGCCACGCACCCAAAGAGCACCTCGGCCTTTGTCGATGCCACCGAGCTGCCTCGCAGTCTGCGCCCCGCCAAGATGCTCGGCATCAACCTGGGCAAGAACAAGACGAGCAAGGAGGAGAGCGTCGACGACTATGTCAAGGGCGTCGAGCGTCTGGGTCCGTACGCCGACATGATCATCGTGAACGTGAGCAGCCCCAACACGCCTGGGCTGCGAAGGCTGCAGCGCCGCGGTGTGCTCGAGGATCTGCTGACGCAGGTGGTCAAGGCGCGCGACGGCATGGTCGAGTCGCACCTGCGCTTCTCGGACAAAAAGGTGCAGGTGCCGCTGCTCGTCAAGATCGCACCGGATCTGAGTGAGGAGGAGCTGCACGATGTTGCGGATGCGGCGCTCAAGAGCGGTATCGACGGACTGGTGATCAGCAACACGACCATCTCGCGTCCGGCGTCGCTGCGCTCGTCGGAGCACGTTCGCGAGACGGGCGGCCTGTCGGGTCCACCCGTGAAGCCGTTGGCGCTGCGTGCGCTCACGACGGTGCACGAGCGGCTTGAGGGCAAGCTGCCCATCATCGGATGCGGCGGTATCGCCACTGCGCAGGACGCGCTGGACTTTGCCAAGGCGGGTGCGAGCGCCGTGGAGCTCTACACGTCGTTTGGCTACCAGGGCGTGGGGCTGCCGCGACGTCTCAAGGATGAGCTGGTCTCGCTGCTCAAGGCGGAGGGTACGACGTGGAAGCAGGCTGTAGGCAGTGGACTTGATCTGTCCAAGGTGGAGATCGCCGTGCCCAACGCCGAGCGCCCCACGGGCCTGCATCCCGGCAGCGATGCGGCGTTCGAAAAGAGCGTGGCGAGCGTCAAGCTCGAGCTCGACGGTCTGCGCGAGAAGCTCGGCCTGAACCAGACGCTGAGCAAGCAGGCGCTGCACAGCTTCCTCCCCTCGCGAGAGAAGGACGCGAGCTACTACGACCTGCTCGACAAGGCGCACGCTGCTCTCGGCCTCGACCTCGCCGCTGGCGAGCAGACGGTGCACAAGGTGCCCGAATCGCAGCCCACCGCCGCCGACGCCAAACCCACCCAGGGCGAAAAGCAGCTGCACAACGCCCAGCAGCTCCTCCAGGACCCCGCCGTGCCCAACATCAAGCTGCAGCTCAACGAGAAGACCAAAAAGGTGGCGGGCGACTCGACCACGGCCAAGGTGCTCGAGGCCAAGGAAAACGCCGCCCAGCGCAACTTTGCCAAGATCGACAAGGTGCGCGTGGTCTAAGTGTGCATTGCTTGCTGTTCGTAGAAATGCATCTGTCTCGTTGCTTGAAGCCGTGCTTGAAGCGGTGCTTGAAGCTGAAGGCTTGAGTAAGAGAGAGAATTGGCGCTGTGGAGTGCAGAGAGAGCCGCCGCCGCCGCGCACAGACGGAAAATCGACCAAAAAAGACGAGAAAAAGGCGCGGATTTGAAAATGGAAATTGGATATTATTTGCGAGAGCGGAAGGGCGGAGCAGTCAATCCGTTCTGCTTGGACCACCTCTCACACACACACTCTCTCTCAGTGTGCCCGGACCCTGCTGAGCTCGCATCTCCACTCTTCACCCTCGTCCTCACCAACCTCATCCTCATCTCACCACGCCCGTCACTCGGACTCGCAGGTGTAGCCCCTTATCGCGGTATCGACATCGCGGCTCGGACTATGACCTGCGTCTAAAGGCGGCTCTTGTGCCCTCTTGATCCTTGCATTGCTCGTCCGCCCACCATGTCGGTGCTCGGCGCACACCAGAGCGATGCGCTCAATCGCATCTTCGCCGGCCTCAAGAGCAGAGACGAGGCCTCGCGTCAGGCGGCCGGCGAGGAGCTCAAGTCGCACGTCGCCTTCGTCGTCTCCGAGCTCAAGGGCGACTCGCTCTCCACGTTCAACAACGACCTCCACCGCAGGATCTTCGAGCTCACCCACTCCCAGCATGTGCACGAGAAACTCGGCGGCATCGTCGCCATCGAGGACCTCATCGAGCAGGAGAGCGAGGACAATAGCGCTCGTCTCTACCGCTTCTACCAGTACCTCAAACCCAACCTCCCCTGCAACGATGCCTCGGTCATGATCGCCGCCTCGCGCGCCCTCGGCAAAGTCGCTCACCACGGCGGCCAGTCTCTCGGCGAACAGTTCATCGAGTTTGAGGTGCTCCGTGCTCTCGACTTCCTCCAGGCAGGCGATCGCAACGAGTCCGGCCGATACGCCGCCGTGCTCATCATCCGCGAGATGGCAAAAAAGGTGCCGCAGCAGTTCCATCCATACGTGCCGCGCGTGCTCGATCGCATCTGGGTCGCCTTGCGCGACGTGCGCGTCATCGTCCGCGAGGGCGCCGCAGAGGCCATGGGCGCCTGCCTCGGCATCATCGCCGCGCGCGAAAAGCAGATGGGCAGCCACTTCTTCGAGTCCATCTACGAAGAGGCCGAAAAGGGCCTCAAGATGAGCGCCGCAGAGGCCATCCACGGCAGTCTGCTCGCCGTACAGCAGCTCCTCCAGCACTCCAAGACCTTCATGCGCAACCGCTTCCAGCGCGCATGCCAGCTCGTCTTCCGCCTCCACAAGCACAGGGATCCGCTCATCCGACGCACCATCACCAACCTCGTCCCCGTCCTCGCGCGCTACGACCCGCACTACTTTGCAGAGGAGCACCTCGGCGCCGTCATGAACATCCTCACAGAACAGCTCCGCAAGGAGAAGGACCGCTCGCCAAAAGAGTCCGCACAGACCTTCGAGACCATCGGCTTCGTCGCCGCTGCCATGGGCCCGCGCATGAAGCCCTTCATCGAACCAGTCCTCGCCTGCGTCAAAGAGGGCCTCCAGAGCCGCGCAAAGAAGAACGCAACCCCAGAGGGGCCCATCTTCCTCTGCGTCGGCAACCTCGCCACCGCCGTCGGCCCCCATCTCACCAGGTACATGCACGACCTCCTCGACCTCATGTTCTCCTGCGGTCTCAGCATCCCGCTCGTCACCGCACTCGACGGCATCGTCAAGGCCATCCCCCCGCTCATGAAGGTCGTCCAGGACCGCCTGCTCGACATGCTCTCCATGACGCTCATCGGTCAGCCCTACCGTCCGCTTGGCGCGCCCGCAAATCTGCGTCCCTCGGCCAACGCAAGCCGCGATGTGGTCGCTACTCACACCGTCGAGTCCAAGGGTGTCGAGACCATCACCGTTGCCCTGCAGACGCTCGGCAGATTCGACTTCCAGGGTCACATCCTCAACGAATTCGTCCGCAACTGTACATTACCCTACCTCGAGGACGACCATGCCGCCGTTCGTCAGGCTGCAGCAGAGACGTGCGCCGACCTCTTTGTCAACGATCCCATCTGCCGCCAGACCAGCATGCACGCCATCGAGGTCGTCAACGACGTGCTCGACAAGCTCATGACCGTCGGCATCGCCGACCCGGATCCCGAGCTCAGATGGACCGTCCTCAGCAAGTTTGGCGCACAGGAGCAGTTCGACCGCCACCTTGCACAGTCCGAGTACGTACGTTCGCTCTTCATCGCGCTCAACGACGAAAAGTTCAACGTGCGCGAGGTGGCCATCGTCATCATCGGCCGTCTCGCCAAGCACAATCCGGCCTACGTCATGCCCTCGCTCCGCAAGGCGCTCATCCAGCTCCTCACCGAGCTCGAATACTCTACCGTCAGCAGGCACAAGGAGGAAGCCGCAAAGCTGCTCACCGAGGTCGTCCGTGCTTCGCAGCGCCTCGTCAAGTCGTATGCGCTGCCCATGCTCGAAGTGCTGCTGCCAAAGGCCAACGATCCCAGCGTCGGCGTCGCAGCACGCGTCATGGAGTGTCTCGGCGAGCTCGCCAAGGTCGGCGGCGAAGACCTGGCGCCCTTCGCCGACCAGCTCATGCGCCTTGCCATCGACCAGCTTTCCAGCACAGCGCCCGGCTCGTCCACAGTCAAGCGAGACGCCGCGCTCAAGATGCTCGGCCTCGTCGCCTCCAACACGGGTCACGTGGTCAACGTCTACCTCACCTACAAGGGCCTGCTCCACCTCCTCGTCAAGATCCTCAAGACCGAGCAGTCCAAGCCCGCCCGCCGCGAGACCATCCGAAACATGGGCTTCCTCGGTGCCCCTGACCCCTACAGGTTCAAGCTGCTAGAGAAGAACGGCGACGAGGGCCAGGACGACACGTCCAAGGGCAGCGGCACCGATCTCTTCGAGCTCGCCTTGGCCATCGGCACCTCGACTGACGACTACTACCAGAACATCGCCATCGACGCGCTTATCACCATCCTCAAGGATCCGTCGCTCTCCACGCACCACCACGCCGTCATCGAGGCCATCATGTACATGTTCAAGACACAGGGTCTCAAGTGCGTCACCTTCCTGCCGCAGATCATCCCGGCCTTCCTCAACGTCATCCGCACCTGCGTCACGGGTCTGTCCGAATTCTACTTCCAGCAGCTCGCCATCCTCATCTCGATCATCAAGCAGCACGTGCGCAGCTACCTCGAGCCCATCTTTGAGCTGGTCCAGGAGAACTGGAATCCCAACTCGAGCATCCAGCTCACCATCGTCTCGCTCGTCGAGGCGGTCGCCAAGGCACTCGAGGGCGAGTTCAAGTCGTACCTGCCAATTCTATTGCCCAACATGCTTCAGACGCTCGACGGCGAGATCACGAGCAAGCGCCAGCCCACCCTGCTCCGCATCCTCCAGGCGTTCTACGTGTTTGGCTCCAACATCGAAGAATACCTGCATCTGGTGCTGCCGGTCATCGTCAAGATGTTCGAGCGTCCCGATGCTTCCCAGACGCTGCGACGCGCTGCCATCCTCACCGTGGGCAATCTGTCGCGCAAGGTGAGCTTCTGCGACCATGCCTCGCGCGTGATTCATCCGCTCGTGCGCGTGCTCCCCACCGGCTCGCCCGACATCCGCAACGCCGTCATGGAGACGCTCTCGGCGCTCGTGGTGCAGCTTGGCTCGTCGTACGCCATCTTCATCCCCGTCGTCAACAAGGTGCTCGTGCAGCACCGTATCCAGCACACCACCTACGACCAGCTCGTCACCAAGCTGCTCAACGGCGAGCGTCTTCCCCAGGACCTCTCGGCGGCTGACAACGCGCTCGGCAGCAAGATCGACGACTCGCCGCAGGCCGAGGCCAACAAGATGACCGTCAACCAGCAGCATCTCAAGCAGGCATGGGACACGTCCAAGGTGTCCACCAGCGAGGACTGGCAGGAGTGGCTGCGTCGCATGGCGGTCGAGTTCATGCGCGAGTCGCCCAGCCACGCGCTGCGAGCCTGCCGCAGCTTGGCAGACGTGTATCCCGCGCTGGCCTACGGTCTGTTCAACGTCGCCTTTGTCTCGTGCTGGACCGAGCTGTACGAGCAGTACCAGAGCGACCTGGTCAAGGCGCTCGAGACCGCACTGGATGCACCCGAGGTGCCCGGCGATGTGGTGCACATGCTGCTCAACCTCGCCGAGTTCATGGAGCACGACGACAAGGCACTGCCCATCAACATCCGCGTGCTCGGTGACCGCGCCTATAAATTCCACAGCTACGCCAAGGCGCTGCACTACAAGGAGGCCGAGTTCCTCACCGACCCGTCGCCGCAGGTGGTCGAGAGCCTCATCGACATCAACACCAAGCTGCAGCAGTCGGATGCGGCGTTTGGCGCGCTGACGTATGCGAGGGAGCATCTCGACATCACCCACCACGAAGAGTGGTACGAGAAGTTGCACCGCTGGGAGGAGGCGCTTGCCGCCTACGACCGCAAGGCCATGCTCGACCCGGACGACTACACGGTTGCGTTTGGCAAGATGCGATGTCTGCACGCGCTCGGCGAGTGGGAGCATCTCTCGGACCTCGTCCAGCAGAAGTGGGGACGTGCCGACATGGACGACCGCCGCCACATGGCGCCGCTGGCCGCCGCGGCAGCGTGGTCGTTAGGACAGTGGGACACCATGGACGACTACATCTCGGCGATGCGCTCCGACTCGTCCGAGCGCTCCTTCTACCGCGCCATCCTGCACACGCACCGCTCGCAGCGCGCGGCGGCCAACAAGCAGATTGCCAAAGCGCGCGAGTCGCTCGACTCGGAGCTCACTGCGCTCATCAGCGAGAGCTACGGACGTGCGTACGACCTCATGGTGCGCACCCAGATGCTCTCGGAGCTCGAGGAGGCGCTGGCGTACAAGCTCGACTACAAGGAGCAGCCGGACCGCCAGGCCACCATCCGCTCCACCTGGATGAAGCGTCTGCAGGGCTGCCAGCCCGAGGTGGAGGTGTGGCAGCGCATCCTCTCGGTGCGCTCCATCGTGCTCACGCCAGCCGACGACACCGAGACCTGGATCAAGTTCGCCAACCTTTGCCGCAAGTCCGGTCGCATGGTGCTTGCCGAGAAGACGCTCAATTCGCTGCTGGGCCCGGAGAGGACGAATGCGGATCCGAGGTCGCCCATCGGCCCGCGCGCGCCGCCGCCGGTGATCTATGCGCATCTCAAGTTCATGTGGGCGTCGGGCGCGAGGCTCGAGTCGCTCAGCTACCTGCAGGAGTTTACGCTCAACCTGGCCGAGGATCTGGGTGTGCACACGGTGGACGAGCATGGCAACCTGGTGACGCAGGACTGGCAGTCTTCGCCGCGGCTGGGCGAGTTTGCGCGGCTGCTGGCGCGGTGCTTCTTCAAGCAGGGCGAGTGGCAGATGGCGCTGCGCGAGAACTGGGTCACGGACGACAACAGCAACGTCATCGAGAGCTACCGGCGCGCGACCGAGCTCGACCGCAACTGGTACAAGGCGTGGCACGCGTGGGCGCTGGCGAATTTCGAGATCATCACGCACCACGAGGAGAGGAACGAGCAGATCACGCCGCAGATGATCGCGGCGAGCATTGTGCCGTCGGTGCAGGGCTTCTTCCGCTCGATCGCGCTGGCGAGCGGCAACAGTCTGCAGGACACGCTGCGTCTGCTGACGCTGTGGTTCAAGTACGGCCACCAGGAGGACGTGTCGCAGGCGGTCAGCGAGGGTTTCGCGAGCGTGATCGTGGATACGTGGCTCGAGGTGATCCCGCAGATCATTGCGCGCATTACGGCGCCGTCGCCGCGCGTGCGTCGGCTGATCCACAACCTGCTCTCGGACGTGGGACTGGCGCATCCGCAGGCGCTCGTCTATCCGCTCACCGTGGCGGCCAAGAGTCCGAGCCACATGCGCATCCAGGCGGCGATGGGCATCATGGACAACGTGCGCGAGCACTCGCCCGTGCTGGTGGAGCAGGCGCTGCTCGTGTCCAACGAGCTCATCCGCGTCGCCATCCTGTGGCACGAGATGTGGCACGAGGGCCTCGAAGAGGCGTCGCGCCTCTACTTTACCGAGCACAACATCGACGCCATGTTTGCCACGCTCGAGCCGCTGCACGATGCGCTCGAAAAGGGGCCCGAGACGCTGCGCGAGACGTCGTTCGCCCAGACCCACGGCCGCGATCTGGCCGAGGCGCGCGAGTGCGGCCGAAGATACCGCCAGTACGGCGACATTTCCGACCTCAACCAGGCATGGGATCTGTACTACCACGTCTTCAAGAAGATCGCCAAGCAGCTGCCGGCGGGCAACTCGGTGCAGCTCGATCTGCAGTATGTGTCGCCGAAGCTGCTGGCGATGCGCGATCTGGAGCTGGCGGTGCCGGGCACGTATCAGTCTGGCAAGCCGATCGTGTGCATCACGCGGTTCGAGCAGATTGTGCTGGTGATCGCGTCCAAGCAGCACCCGCGCCGACTCAAGATGAAGGGTTCCGACGGCCGTACGTACCAGTACCTGCTCAAGGGCCACGAGGATCTGCGTCAGGACGAGCGGGTGATGCAGCTGTTCGGGCTGGTCAACACGCTGCTCTCGATCGACTCGGAGAGCTACAAGCGGCGGCTGGAGATCCGCCGGTTCCCCGTCATCCCGCTGTCGCCCAACACGGGCATGCTCGGGTGGGTGGAGAATACGGATACGCTGCATGTGCTCATCAAGGAGTACCGGGAGCAGCACAAGATCCTGCTCAACATCGAGCATCGGCTCATGCTGCAGATGGCGCCGGACTACGACCACCTCACGCTCATGCAGAAGGTCGAGGTGTTCGAGTATGCGCTCGACAATACGCCGGGGCAGGATCTGTACCGCGTGCTGTGGCTCAAGTCGCGCAACTCCGAGTCGTGGCTCGAGCGTCGTCTCGCCTACACGCGCTCGCTTGCCGTCTCGTCCGTAGCGGGTTATATTCTCGGCCTGGGTGATCGACACCCGTCGAATCTGCTGCTGGACAGGTTGACGGGGCAGATTGTGCACATTGATTTCGGCGACTGTTTCGAGATCGCATGTCACCGGCCCAAGTTCCCGGAGAAGGTGCCGTTCCGCTTGACGCGCATGCTGGTGAATGCGATGGAGGTGGGCGGGATCAAGGGTACATTCAAGGTGACGGCCGAGAATACGATGCGGGTGCTGCGCGACAACAAGGAGTCGGTGCTTGCGCTGCTCGAAGCATTCGTGCACGATCCGCTGATCTCGTGGCGTTTGGTGGCGGACGATGCGGATCAGCAGCGCGCTCCAGATGCGCAGGAGAACGAAGCCGCCGCCACGGCCGAGAATGCCGCAGCGGCTGCGGCGGTGGCAGGTGCGCCTACGGGTGGCGCCAATGTCGGCGCCGGCGGTGTGGTGGCGGCCAACCAACGTCAAGACCAACCGGAGCAGGCGCAGGGTGGAGGCGCCGTGGCGGCGGGAGGTCACGATATGCGCAACCAGCGTGCGCTGGAGGTGGTGCGCCGCATCCAGAACAAGCTGAGCGGCCGCGACTTTAACCCCGCCGAAAGCCTCACTGTGGCGGCGCAGATCGAGCGGCTGGTACAGGATGCCACCTCCAAAGAGAATCTGTGCGTGGCGTTTGTTGGATGGTGCTCGTTCTGGTAATCTCCCACTGCCTTCATACGCACGACTCGTTGTTTCAATGCATGCCTTTGTTCTTCACCTTGGCGGATGCAGTGTGCACACTCTGGTCTCACAATGAGCGAAGAAAAGGAGATTCTCGTCGGCAGTCAAATCATACAAGCACTGTTGGGGTTCGGGGGGAATTAGTGCTGTGCGGGCTGCTGTTGGGCCTGCTGCTGTTTGGACGACGACTCCTTGAGCGCCAGCAGCTGCTTGCTCCTAAACGCCTCGTAGTGAATCTGCGCCGTAGTCTCGATGAGATCCTGCAGATGGGTGCGCGTGAGGAAGTTGCGCAAATGCACAAACTCGCAGTGGCTTTCGTTCTCGACATTGACCACGCCGTACCTATTCTTCCTGCCCCTGACCTGTTTTCCATCCACCACCACCGTGGATTCGGAACCGACAACAGCGAAAGGAATCAGGTTGCGAATGCGGTCGTTGAGTTCCTGTTCCTCGACTTCGTACTCGTCGTTGTCAAAGGGGAAGATGCGGATGTTGTTGTACTGCATCTCGGCCCTGATCCTCTCCTTGAACAGATCGCGCTCGTCCATGGTCAGAGAGTCGGACTTTGCAATCACCGGCACAACGTTGACCACATCGCTGAGCTTCTTCATCACCGCCACGTCGATAGGACGCAATCCATGTCCCGTAGGGTTGATGAAGAAGAGGCAGCAGTGGATGCGGGTATCGACAATGTATCGATCGCGCATGGCGGTGAGCTCCTTGCGCAGGTACGCCGAGTGCTGATCCTTGATGTACTTGACGATGGGATCCCAGCAGTTTTCATTGTTCACCTGGTCGCCATAGCCGGGTGTGTCGACAATGTTCAGTCGCAACTTGACGCCGTTTTCCACAATCACATGCGACACGGGGTGGATCTCGGTGGTTTGACGAACCACCTCGTCGGCTGCAAAGCGGCCCTTGGTGTCGATGAGGTGCGCCGCAAACAGCGTATTGATGAGCGTCGACTTGCCCAGCCCCGTCTGACCGACGACCATCACGTTGAACTGGAAGCCGCGCTTGAGCAGCTTCGACTCGATCTGCTTGGTGATCGAGTCGAACCCGACGTACGACTGCAAAGGCGTATGGTCCTGTGCGTTCGAAACCGCTGTCATGTTTGCTGATCGATGTGAGAAGTGGAAAAGTGGGGATGGTGGTGGATTGCTGCAGCCTGCGCAGGGTGGGAGATGCGCTGCTGGCGTCGAGGCAGTGGTGGCTCATGCACCCACACGCACACACGCACGCACGCACCCGCGCCCTCTCCCTCTCCCTGGCGAGCCCTCGCTTCTTCCAGACCCCCAAATGTGCATGTTTCAACCAGCGCTTCAAACCCGACGCGCCCGCATCTCAACTTGTATTCGCCAGCACACACCCGCGCTTTCAATTTTGAACTGCTGCTCTGCCTTTAAATTCGAGCAACCTCATTCGAGATCCAACCTAACATACACGAACAAAGCCAACAAGCCCGACAACCACGTCCAACCTTGAGTCTATCTAGCCCACACGGTCAAAGCAAGAGCGGAGCACCCTGAAAGTTCGTCGCCATTTTCATCAAAGTACAAGGAGGCATTCAAAAGCAAGCTAACGGAAGCGTGGATCGTGGATCGTTGGATGTCCTTGTGCGCACATTCTACACCTGGGAGCCGCGCGTAAAGTAGGCCTTCATGCCGTGGGTGGCGAGCTCGTTCTTGGCCTGGGCGAACGAGTGGCCCTGCTCGTTGTTGTGCTTCCAGATGAGGCGGTAGTACCACAGATTGCCGAGGCCCTGCAGACCGAAACCCGCTGTGGCTATGCAACCCAGAATGCCGGCGACGAGCCTGCCTCCTGCAAACGCCTGGATCGTGTTGATGAGTCCCGCCGAGCCGGTGGAGGGAATGCCGAGGAAGACGTACACCGAAAACGCCAGATGAAACCCAGCAAAGATAAAGTAGACGTAGAAGAAGAGCGAGTGCTCCTTCATGAGGCCATTGTAGATGGGCCTGTACCACAGCAGGAAGCTGGTGACGGTGATGACGGGCAGATAGACGATGCCCGAGATCATGTCCTTGCCGCCGTCCGAGGCGCCCTGGATGAGCAGAAAGATGCACGCGACCATGTTGACGACGAGCGTCGCCACAAGCAGCAGCCAGAGCTTGTAGAGGTTGTGCATGATGGGCTGGCTGTCCGGCGGGATCTCGGCGTCGATATCGTGGTAGATGAGCGGATAGAAGAAGGGCCAGTTGTTGCGGCCGTGCTTCTGGATGTGCGCCGCGCGCGATTCGAGCTCGCGCTCGCGCCGTGCGAGCTCCTCCTCGCGCCGCCGCAGCTCGTCCATGCGATTGGCATCGGCGCGCGTCGTGGGCAGCTCGTCCTGCACGCTCGCCTGCTTGTATGTGGAAGCCGTCTCGTCGTCGCCGCCGGCGTACATGCGTGAGGAGTCGTTGAGCGCGCCCTGCACCGACGGGTCCGCGAATGGATTGGCGTCTAGCGCATTGCGGTCAGCGAACGGATCGGACGCCATTTCGAAAGTTGTGTTGAGCACGGACGATGGTGGTGGTCAGTCGAAAGCTCCACGTCAGAGCAGTCAAAAAGTGAAATGAGAGAGAGAGCGAGAGCAAAGTGGTGGCCTGAGCCCAGCCGAGCCAGCTGCAGAGGGCGCGTAGGCTGTGCTCCCACGTTCTGGCTCTCTGGCCCTCCCGAGCCAAGACAACTCCACTCGGCCCCTTTTCCCGCGCGCCCGCTCCTCGTTCGGCAAGCGATGCGGTTCCCGATTCCAACCCGATCTCAAGCGCGTCTGGCATCGTCTCGACCCTGGCAAATTTCGCGCCTCGGTTGGTTGGTGGATTGGCCAGCACGGTTGTGAGCGTGTAGAGTAGAGCGCTTCCGAATGCAACACGGGGGGGTGCAGGCGAGCCTTCGGTAGACGCGCACTCTTGGCCGTGGGAACGACGACGCCCCTTCTCATCCGCGCTCTTTTATCAGTCACGAGTGGGAGCGCGGCCACAACAACCTCTTGCGACCACCCAAAGCTGCATTCTCGCACACCTCTCTCGCCCCTCGTCGAGCAGCGGCTTGGCACGGCTAGCCCGACGCCGCGCTTGAGTCTAAAACTAGAATTGTCGCGTCAGCTCAAGCCAAGCCATCATCATCCTACGCGCTCAACGCTGGCTACCTCGTCTGCACCGCGGCACATCCGACTGATTCATCTTGGCAGCTTTCCTGCGCTCTCTGCCCAGCCATGTCGAGACGCAGCGGCATCGAGGCCTCCAACGTGCTTCCAGGCCCGCGCAAGAGGCTGCGCGGCAGCAACAACAACAACGACAACGACGCCTCGGGCTCAGTCGAAGAGGCGGCGGCGACCAGCGGCGCGGCAGCTGGCAGTGCGTCGGCCGCTTCAGGCACCGCCGCCATGGGCGCAATCGAACGCAAAATTCACAGCCTCTCGCTCGACCAGCTGACGCAGAGCGGCCAACGCCTCATGGACACCGTCATGGACGCCGTCGACCCCTCCGACGGCGCTCCCCTCCACGACTTCTTCCTCGAGCTCCCCGACGCCGACGACTACCCCGACTACTACGAGATCATCAAGCGGCCCGTCGCGCTCGACGCCATCCAGCACAAGCTCGACCAGCGCGCCTACACCTCCCTCCCCGACATCAAGCACGACTTTGAGACCATCTGCAACAACGCAAAGCGCTACAACTTGCGCGACACCCCCGTCTGGCTCAAGGCAAGGGACCTCCACAGCCTCATCAAGATCACCTACGTCCAGATCGTAGAGAGCCTCCCCGAGCCAAGTGCCGCTGCGCCTCCATCCACCACCACCATGCCCGCCGCCGATCAAGCCTCCACCTCGGATGCACCCCAAGCTCGCCCCAAACGCATCCTTCTTCGCTCCACAAAGTCGCAGCAGAAACTCAACGATGCCAAGTCCGAAGCGCAACAGGCCGCCGCCACACTGCCACCTCCATCCGAGTCGTCCGTGGAACGCGCACACCAAGCTGCTGATCTCCCCTCCACCCCCGCCCGCCAGCACAGTCTACAGCCCGCCACCACCGTCGGCACCCCAAGCTCACAGGCGGATGACGACGATGCAGATGCAGATGCAGATGGCGACGACGGCTGGGACGACGCCAACTCGTCCAAACTCACAAAGGGCGGCCTCCTCGACGGCCGCAAGCGTCCCGGCAAGCGCGGCAAGCGTCTCAAGGCCACGCTCCGCCAACTCGTGCACGACCTTCGCCGCGTCGTCGGAACACGCGGCTACCCCATCGTCGCACAATTCGATGCACTCCCCAAACGCAGCGAGGTGCCCGAGTACTACCAGGTCGTCCAAAGACCCATCTGCATGCGCGACATTGAGCATCGCGTGTACGAAAAATCCTACATCAACGCACACGCCCTCTTCACCGACCTCGAACAGATGCTCAACAACGCCATGTCCTTCTACCCGCCCGAATCCACCATCTGGCAAGACGCACACGAAATCCGCAACTACTTTGAGCGCGAGGCCATCCCTGCGCTCATCCAGGACGGATTCACCCTCGAAAAGGACGACGTCAGGCAGTCGGCGCTCCCGCTCCACCTCGCCGCCAACTCCACCATCGAGGCGCACAAGGCCGCATACAAGATGATCGTCTCCAAGGCGGCCGGCTTGGACCCCAGCGCTTCCCAGAGCCCAGAGCCCTCGTCGCGCATCCGACTCGGGTCCGCCGGTGTCGCTGGCTCGCCTGCGCTGCCGCCAGCAAACGCTCTGCCAGCCAGCTCACCTGCGCCGTTCGGCTCGCCATCCCCTGCTCCCGGTGCGACCATGTCGACGCCAGGCCCGATGCCCATGTCGACGCCCATGTCGATGCCCATGTCGATGCCCATGTCGATGCCCATGTCGATGCCCATGCTGCCTCCGGGATCCATGCCTACATCCATGTCGCCCATGGCACCCATGCACGGCCTGCCAACCATGCCGGGCATCACAGGCATGCCCATCGTCGGATCGCCAGGCCGACCGCTCCAGTACCCCGGCACCGCAGCCACTCCCGTCGCCTCGCCCGCCAACCTCTCGGTGCGACCCGCAGCCACGCCGGACTCCGTAAGGAGGCCAGTCGGGCGTCCGCCAGGCAAAGGTACCCCGACGCGCTCCAACCCGTATCCGTTCTTGGAGCGCCGCATCGGACCAGGCCGACCCAAGAAGCACGAGGCGGCCGCACGACAGGCGGCCATCGCAGCGCACGAGGAGATGCAGCGCAAGCTCGCACTGCAGCAGCAGCAAGAGGAGATGGCAGCGCAGCAGCACGCCGCCGCCATGGCCAACCAGCCGCTGCCCCAGTGGCAGCAGCAGCAGCTCGCGCAGCAACAGCAGGTCCAGCACCAGCTCTACATGCAGCAGCAGGCAAAGCAGCAAGAGCAGCAGCAGCAGCGACTCCAACAGCAGCGACAGCGCCAGCAGCAACAAAAGCAGCAGCAACAGCAGCAGCAACAGGAGCAGCAGCAACAGCAGCAGGCGATGCTTGAGCAGCACCACTACCAGCAGCAGCTCATGCAGCAACAGCAGGCTCAGCACGGCATGCCCACATTCAGCCCCTCGGCGCCCAACCAGATGCTGCCGCCCGGTGCGCCGCTGACTCCGGGACAGCATGCGGCGTTTGGGGCCGGCACGATGGCGGCGGAGCCTGCGTCGCCGTTGAAGCGCAAAGAGGCGCTGCTACCCGCCGAGCCCAGCGCACCGCTGCCCTACGAAGGGCTGGAGAACCGCACGCCGCTCATTGCCAGCTTTGCGATCGACATGGAGGTGGAGACGCCCGATGGGCAGACGCTCGCGGTGCCCTCGGTCGAGGTCAAGAACGCCAGCGTGACGCAGCACACGCTGCAGATCCCACCCAACGCGTCGAGCATCACCATCGAGTTTCCGCTGCGCATGCTCAATCGGCGCGCCAGGGCGGTTGCACCCAAGACCGAAGCTGGTGAGGCTGATGCGGAGGGCGATGTATCGATGGCCGATGTCAATGGTGCTGGCCACAAGGATGCGGAGGTGGGGGAGAAAGGCGGCGTTGAAGAGTTGACGTGGCCTTGGCAGCCGCAGCTGTGGTTCAACGGTCGACCTGCGAGTGGCAAGTGGGTTGCTGCGGACGCACTGATTGATCCGGCACTTCTCGACGAGCAGCAGCAGGAGGGGGAGGAGACGTTTACGACCGAGTTGGGCTGCTCGTTCTGTCGCGTAAGGCTGCTGCCGAAGCGTGGCATCAACGTGTTTGAAGTCTCGGTCGCGCCGGAACCGAGCTACGAGCCGCTTAAAGATGTGCCGGCTGAAAGGTACTCGATCTACTTTTGCTAGCCCGCTCGGGTGCAATGGCAATGTTCTTTACACAAAGATCATGGCGACTATTCGCAAACCGTCTCGGTCTGCTATTAGCTTCGAGTCGCCACTTGAGGCTGATGCGAATCAGAATCTTATCTGTATGCTGTTCGCATGCTGCTCAGCTCGACCGAGGACCCGTGTGTATTGTTTCAGCACGACAATCCCGGTTTTGAACTGTGAACCATTCACCCAGATGACGGCAAAGACTGGCTGGACGATTGTGCGCTCGCATGTGTGAGTGGGGGAGGGGTTGGTGGAGGTTAAGCGAGATTTTTTAGAGCTGCAGCAGGGACCGCTCTTTCGCCCCCTGCCGAGAGGGTGTCGGGACCGCGCGTTGGTGAAATTGAACCCGATGCCGACTGATCCCCTTTGATCTCCCACGACTATCTCCTGCCAACTGCTTCTCGACGGTCGCACGCTCTACGCTCAACGAACTGAAACGATCCGACGGCAAACCACGCTCGACGACGCGGCGACGACTTGGAACGACCAGCTTTTGGGCTATCTACGCTCGCGCGAGGGGATCACGATGAACCACGGCGGTATGGACCATGGCGGAATGGACCATGGGGGTCATGGAGGGATGGACCATGGAGGTATGGATGCAAGTTGCAGTATGAACATGGTTTGGAACTGGGACACATCGAATGTGTGCATCCTCACCTCGTCATGGCGCATCACCACGCCTCTATCGCTCTACCTTTCGCTTTCGATCATCATGCTTGCAGGCGTGGGGTATGAGTGGTTGCGGTCGTACATTCGACGCTACGATGTGCGGCTTGCAAGGTCGACGTTAGGTCCTGCACACCGTCGTCGTGCTTCGCTGCGACTTCCCACATCCAACCCCCAAGCTTCACGAAGATCACCTTCATCTGCAGCAGTGTCGGCAGGCAGATGGATCAAGCCACTGGAATGTAGTCGCCAAACGCAGGTGGTCAGGTCAGGGTTGTACGCTGCAAGTGTCGCGTTCAGCTTTGCACTCATGCTCGTAGCCATGACGTTCAACGCCTTTGTCATCGCAGCAATCGTCGCAGGTAAGTCTCTCAAACCCCACAGGACCCATAAGAGCATACAATGCTAACGCTGCTGATTGCGACAGGTGCGGGATTGGGAAACTACATGTTCAGCCGAGACCTCTCTACATCCCAAAGCCTGGCAGACGATAAAGGTCTAGCCTGTCACGCCTAATCCCCACTTTTCACGCCGAATCCAATCCAATTACAAAGGTTTGCGAAGATGTGGACTTTACATCTTGGCGCGGGGGGCAAAGATGGCGGTGGTGGCATCGTCGTGTTTGGTCCTCATGATCTTGACCGCCTGCGCATAGATGACCTCCTTATTCGCGCCCCAAGCGTTCATCCTTGCCTTGCCCTTGAGCTTGTTCGCCAGCTCGACCGCCTTGTCCATTGTATCCTGTGGACTCTCGGACAGCACATCGACAAATCCAGCCTCCTGCGCCTCCTTGGCGCTGAACCTATGGCCCTCGAGCACGATCTTGCGCATGGTCTTTTGGTCGTCGATCTTGCTCGCGAGCGCCTGCTGCAGTCCGGCGGGGAGGGGAGCGCCAAAGTCGATCTCGTTCATGCACAGGTATCCGCGCTTTGCGTTCATCACGCGGTAATCATGTGCGCAGGCCAGGCCGAAACCCGCGGCGAAAGCGTGGCCGTTGACAGCGGCGATGGTGGGGATGGGGAAGGTGAGCAGCTTCTCGTAGACCGCATTGAGACAGCGGTCGAAGAAGTGCGGATCCGCCATCGCCTTTTCCAAATCCAGGCCGTTGGAGAAGATCTTGGCGCTGGCATCGGTACCGCCTGTGGTGATCAGTGCAGCACCCTGGTCCGACTCGCCCGAATCGAGCATCGCATTCCACTTGCCCTCAACATGGTTGATCGCGGGCAGCAGACCTTCACCGAGCAGTCGGTGCGTAAGACGGTTGTCGGGCGTCTCGGCACCCAGCATCGTCAGCGTAAAGATACGCGACTCGCCATCGAACGACAGCTTGACCAGCGCATCCGAGTCGGACGGAAACGACTGTGTGTACGACTGCATTGTGCTAGGGCGCGAGGGATCGTAGCGCGGAACTTTTGTCAGGTCAAACGGGTTGCGTGAGGAAGAGTGTCGAACCGAGAGGTGATGAGGCGAGACGGTAGCGCGAGGCAGGTTGCGGGAGATGAGGGGCTTTATAGTGCGAAGTGCCGGCAGGGCAAGCAGCGTGCGAGACATGGGATGGTGGTGTAAGCCAGGAAAAGGCATGTGGAAAGGCGCGCGAATATCTGGAGGACACCCAACGCTAGATGCGGGGAAGAGGCCACGGCAGAGGCTCGTCCGGCAACCACAACCACCCACCAGCCGGTGCACAGGCACAACCGCAGCCGCTTCAAGGGTCCTTGCACGGCGAAACGCGCGCGGCTGCCTGTGCCGCGTGAAATCTCGCGCAGCCCCTTCACCCTCGCGCCGATTTCCGATTTTGTTCGACATCCGGCCGGAAAGCAGCAAAAACGCCGTTCCGACTCAGCCGGCATTTAGACCGGCTTCTATGCAAGTCATGCGACCCGGCGCTATGGCCATCATGTCGCACCAACAGCACCAACAGCTTGTCCTTATCTCGACGACACTTGGCAGCTCTCGGATCTTCTTGGCGCAGCAGCCACGTCGAGTCACCCTTGACGACCTGCCAAGACCACCATCACCACACCGTGTTCTTGTATAAGCTTATATAGATACAGACCATCGATAGCACACGGCAACGCAACGCCGCACCCCCGTCTCTGGCTCCATCTTACCCCAGCCATGTCTGGCCAGGAATACGTCGACGTCTCGACGATCGGCATCGACGATGCGCCCGTGATGCCCTCGCCTCTGCCCGTGTCGTCCGACAGCGCTACGGTCAGCTACTGGATGGCCACCACGCCCAAGCACCACCTCCCGGCATCGCTCGAAGCGCCACCCGCCAAGTCGGACGTCGTCATCATCGGTTCGGGCATCACGGGCGTCTCTTGCGCATACCACCTCATCAACTCGCTCTCGGAATCCAACCGCCCCATCTCCTCCATCACCATCGTCGAGGCTCGGCAGTTCTGCACAGGCGCAACAGGTCGCAATGGCGGCCACCTCACCACCGCCTCGGCGCTTTCGTACGATGACATCGCCGCCAACCCCGCCCACCTACTCGGCGAGGACCTCGGCAGTCTTGGTGATGATGTTGTCCGCCGCAAGACAGGCGACGCTGTCCGCGATATCTTGAACTTTGAGACGGCGACGGCGGATGCGATCCGCGGGATCATTGCAGATGAAAAGGCCGAGGAGCAAGTGGGATTCACCGACGACGCCAACTGGCACGTCTGCGTTGAGCAGGCCGAGATCGACGCGTACGAAGCAGCGTTGTGCCATGCTGCCGAGCATGCTGATCTCAAGGGCTATGTCGATCGCGTCCGTCGCGTGCCTAAGGACGAAGTGGACAGACGCATGCACAACCCCGCGCACATCAAGGCGGTGTACGAGATTCCCGGCGCAACCCTGCATCCTCGCAACCTGGTCGCGCTCATCTACGCGCGTGCACTGCGTCGTGCCACCCACCACGGCGTAACGCTCAACCTCATAACCGAGTGTCCGGTTACCAGCATTCGCGCTGCTTCATCTACATTGGTGCTGGCGACGCCCAAGGGCGAGATCACCGCTTCGTATGTCGTCCACGCTACCAACGGGTATGCGTCGCACCTGCTCCCGCAACTCGCCAATCCCGCACGAGGTGGAATTACGCCTACACGCGCGCAGGTCGTAGCGGTACCTCCAAAAGCCAAGGCGCATCTATGGGGGATGGCGCTCAGCTCAAGCGAAGGTTTCAATTACGGCCATCAACGCCCGCGCTCCGAACACGAACCCCCATCAGCCGATGGGCCTCTGTACATCATGGGTGGTGGACGCCAAGTCGCCACCGGCAGAGAGTGGGGGATCGCCGACGACTCGTCCCTCAGCAAGGAAGTCTCGACTTTCCTGCACCCGTTCCTCGCCAACATCTTTCCGGGATCGTATGGCACCGATGTGCACTCGGAATGGACCGGCATCATGGGGTATACAAAGTCAAAAGACCCGTTGGTGGGGCCAGTACCCGGCTGCAAGCAGGGAGCTAGACAGTATGTTGCGGCGGGGTACAGTGGGCATGGTATGACCAGGGCGTTTGGATGCGCAGAGGTGGTGGCACAGATGATTACAGCGCATGCAAATGGGGACAAGTGGGTGAATAGGGCCAGGTTTCCAGAGTGCTATCTGACCCAAGACGCCAAGGCGAAACTTACAGAGACGACGTACGCGGAGAAAGCAGCGGAGACGGACGAGAAGTCGCCACAGGGCTGTTGCAGCGTCTCCTAGCCCGAACAATGATCACGACGCAATGCAAACAAATCGACGTCTCCCACGTACGCTATTGTGATGCGTTGAGCACACGAGTCATTCCGATCTGCATGCGTTGTTGGTGCCAAACCCACTGTATCTGGACCCCACAGCTTTGGTGGGCGGCAAACATGTCGATGCTCGATGCCCCCCC